TATTGTTTAGTCTTAAGTATTGTAGTGTAATAAATTTAACCCTATAAAATATGGACACCAATCCCATAATGGAAGGTACTGGTGTTTGTTACAGTCTGCATTGTAAAAAAATGTATCAATAGGTAGGTTCTATGTACAGTATAACTTCATTCATCATCTTCTTAGAATATTTCATTCAGTAAATGTCTGTACAAGGCAGTGATTTAACATGAATAAGAAATAAGTAAATAATCTGATAAATGCTGGAAATGTTATAAATTGGCAAAAATCTAAAATCTGATTTTTATCACCTCCAAGCATGTCCAGGTTACAGATACAAACTAAAATTCCCCAGTAATCCCTAAAAGGCTCAAAAGCCACAACTGCCAACAGAAGAATCCATGAAAATACTGAAAAACACTGAAATTTAATTTCTTGCCTTCTGGTAGTCTCTGTTTGTGTGTATATAGTATATTCATGTTTCAACTGAGCTTTGCAGCATTCCCTGCAGGTAAAATATACAGTAATACCCAGTTAATTCTGCAGGACCTAATTTAATAATATAATGAAAGGTATTATTAACTAATACTGCATAAAACAACTCTGTGATTAATGATGTAATATCAGAGTCATATTTTCAGTTCCACATACTGTACCTTTGTAGTTACTGATTATTTAAAAGTGATGCGAGATGGCAGCAGTAACCCTACAATCAAGTTCTTTCAAATGAACATTTCTGCACATTGTCATCTTTAGAGAACAAACTTTCACCTACTGAAGAAGTGAAATAATAATTTAATTGTTGATGATTTGCTCTAGCTAATTTTCATTATGATGTGGTTCAGTTCCTAATCAATCAGATCATTCTGAATGTACTTGAATGTAATTCTTATATCATTTAAAATGTTTTAAAAAATTACTGTAACTAATTTTTTCAGACATCTACCTCTCCCTTATTTGGCCAAAGGAATTTTTTTCAGACCACAGTACAAGAATTGTTTGTGAACACATTTTTTAGATGTATTTTCATATTTTATACTGTATATTTATTTCTATGTATTAATTTGCTTAAAATTTCATGCATTTTTGCAGTCCTTCGCTCATTGCCCTCTGGAATGCAATCCCAGTACCCTAATGAGGGAGAAAGGGGCAGAATTGAATTTAAAATATTGATGTGTGAGAACAATCATTTTTATTATAGAGATGAATTAGTTAGAAGAGAATTAGGGAAAAGAGTCTGTCAGTTCAAGTCAGCATTTGTCTTTTTAAAAAGATATTAGAATTATTCAATTTATTTATCATGATGACATGTAATGAAGAAAGAGTAAGTCTCAACACTAAGGTACAGTATCTGAAGTGTTTGAACATTGGCATAGTTGGAGGTACTGTAGACCAGCCTTCTTCATTTAAGAGATTAATGGCAGGAATGCGGTTGAACTAATTAATTTTAAACTTTCATACAGCTCCAGAATAATCAGACATTGTTAACAGATGAGGCAAAACGTGTGTGTCCCCCAACACGCTGCACAACTTTAGATTAAAACTTTGTTTTAATTCTGCACAACTACTGCAAGATGTAGTAATTTGAGGGTTTGGTGGAATTTCTTTTAACGGTGCTTGATAACCCCCATATTTTATGGACACAATGGCTTCATTATTTCTACAATATTGGCCACAGAATTGTATGGATGGGCAATATTGCTGAATTGAACATCAGTTTGGCTCTTTTGAGCATGCTTATTAGAAAATAGTTCATTGCTTAGACATCACTCCGAGTCAGCCACATTCTAGCTTTGAGACTCTGCAGTGATGAACATACAGTACAGCAGGTATTCCTGCCAGTAGATCAGCACAGACGTAATCACTCCTGGAATTACCTGTAAACTCCATATTTCACGTTTCAGTTTAAATTATACTGTTTGGACATGTAATTTGATCTTGAGAATGTAGAAGGTTTCTTCAATGGCTTCATTTACTCAGTCTTTCACCTGCAGAGGCAGCTGTGCTGAAAGCAGCTATTTTTTTCCGTAACTAAAAGGTATTTCATGGTATGATAAGGGTTAAACCCCCTGGCACCGATTACATTTCTAGTGAAACTGAACTGATGTTTAGCCACAGTTCTGCTTGATGTGACACATACGGCCTTTGAAGAAGGTTCATTTAGATAGATAATGATACTGCCACTATATCCCTATTATTAAAATAAAAATAAAGATTCCACACTTTGTGAGAGTTATTGGCCCATCTTACTGATTTGCTGGAACACCAAACCGTGTGCTAAGGTGGGAGGTGTCTATATGACCACATTTCTTCACCATGATCAGACAAGCTTTGTTAAGGAGATTCTGGCCTCAAATAATGTTTGCTGTCTTCTCTGTGTACCAGTGGTCCCAAAACCTCACCGCGGCGACCCACACACCTGTTGGTTTTTCTTCTTGCCGAGCCCTCAGATATACAAACCCGTCATTGACTTCATAACAATAAAATTAATTTGATCTGCTTGTTCCCAGCTCTTCAACATGTTTGAGCTGTAACCTTTGCATTTTGTAAGTAAAATTAAAACCCAAACTTGTGACTAGAAACAGAATGTAAAGACTCGTTTGAAGAAACGTCTTAGATCAAGGAAGGCTTCAGTTATCTAATGAGGGTGGAATGGAATGAAAACCAGCAGGTATTTGGGTCACCAGGACCAGAACTGGGAGCCACTGCTGTAGACCTTGATTGCAGACTTTGACCAGCTTAAGTGGAGCTACAAGTACCTGTGGTCAGTTTTGGATTATATGTGTATACTTAATTCTCAATACGGTATGAATTTAACCCAAACCACTGCATAGTTGTTCTTCACATTTTGCTATTTCTAGAGGCCCTTTGTCACGAATGCTCCCTTTAAATTGTCTTATTCTATCTCTGGATGTTTGTCAATTATTACATCCACCCCTTTTGTCTTTAATAATAATAAAAATAATAATAGTAAGAAGACGAAGTCATGTATTTTTTTTGGACACTGTCAATGAATAAATGTCAGTACCCGAGCTGGAAACCACACAAGGGGTGTTTTACTCAGGAATCTAGTCAGGTTGTTGTGTTCTTATCCAGTATACAAATAATTTATCTTGATTGCTTTTACCCTTCAGGTTTTCCCAGTTAGCTGCATGTGTTTTACAGGCTCTTTTTTGTCACCATTGCACACCTAAGAGATTATCTAGTTTAGAAACGATTTGCAGTATAGTCATCTGGGCGGTCCAGGTCTCCTATGTTGCCATGTTTTCCCTCACAAGCTGTGCTCTTTGATTCAAAGACTGCGTTAGCAGATGGACTGTGAAGCTACTGTAGTTCTGGAGAATCAAACTCTTTTTGGTGTCTGCTTAGTTGGAAAGAAACTGGGGGACCTCACCATTTTAAGCAACTTCTTAGATCAAGAAAGGCTTCAATCACCTAATTAAGGTGAGATGGAATGGAAAACCAGCAAGGGTGTGGATATCAGAAAATAAAAATGAGGATGTTCGGTAGTAGGAACTGCAGTGTTTGGTAACCCTAGTTACTTGATCTCCTCTACAAGCATTTGGAGACCCATTGATCTTGACTTTATCCTAGTCGAAGAGCTTTAACTTATTCTAGAAATGTGTTCAGCTAGACTTTCATTTCAGGATTTTATTTGTAAGAAAAAAAACATGCGATTCGGACCGGATTTGAGTCTTGTGTCATGATGTTTTTGTAAATCAAACTTTCTTTCTCTTTCAAAATAGAAAAATATCCCTTCATGTTCCTTCCATTTTTGTTATTCCCATAAGTCGCTAACTGCCTGTAATATCTCTTTAACTCCCCGTATCACTGAGCACTGTACAGTATTTAGACTATTTTGTTCTTAGTGTTTATCTAAAGCAGTTTACTTAATCTAAATGTTACCTATTTTATGCTGCCATTTTTACTAGTATTATTTCTCTGCTACCTTACAGTCAAAGGTAGTGTGGGAATTATGTTCACATATTCAGCTAGTGTATATTTAGCATCCACTGCACAGCTTATAGTATGTCATAAATGTAGAGGAATGTAAAGTACCAGTACAATTACAAGGCTGATTTATCACTACTACAGAAAATACCTTTCGGAAAGTAGGTCACTAAGGACAGGAGACTTGGGATAAGAAGCGTACAGCTGTTTTATCCCATCGATCCAAGGTGAGTAGTGAAGTAAATGTTGATGCTGAGCAGTGTACAGTCTGTTCTATTTAATTATATCGCTCATGGTTGATGGTTTTTGTCTAAATAATGCTGAAAGGTGTTTGGGGAAAATGGCAGGAGCTGCCGTCCAAATCTTGAAAAGCTGACTGTTTCGTGTCAGGTCAGGTCTGTCAAAGGCAATGAAAGATGTAAGCATCTGTTAGCAGATGTTGGTCTGTCATTAACAAAGAATATTCATTACAAGTAGATTCTGCATTCATGGTGTTAACCAATAAATAATGACAATAATGACACCCTAATACAAGCTACAAGTTAGATTAATATCAATCACTCAGATTCAGCACAAACCTCCTACTGCCTTGATGCCTGACTTTTTGCATGAATTATTATTAGACTGCCTTTATTACCTGAGCCTCTCTGAAACTGATAAACCATGTCATACTGGTAGAATTGCTTTTCCACTTCAGTTTTAGCAGACCAGAAAAGCTCTCTTTAGGTGATGTTGATTTTTCTGTTGAATGGATATTTGGAATATCTGAATCAGTATTCACATCAAAATGCCATGCTGGAGTGAGAACACACAATGCAATGAGCCTGACCTCATCTGACTACAGACTCTAAGACTATAAAATCCCTACAGATTGAAGAACCTGTTGTCATGAAACATTTATTCCTTTTTATACAAGAGAAATATAAAGAATGAAAAAAAAGGATAAGATCAGCTTATTACAGTCACTACAAATTAGCAGCTCATGTAGATGAAACTGTCAAATAAATTAACAAGTAAAGACCTATTGGTTGAGAGGGTGACTGATTGATTTTTTGTTTTGTTCTACTTAGGGTGAGTATAAACCAGAAAAAGCCTTATCAGATGAAGACCTTAAGAACGCCATCAGTGTGCATCACGCACTGGCCATCAAAGCAACTGACTACGAGAAGAGACCCAATGTGCTGAAGCTCAAAACGGCTGATTGGAGAGTCTTCCTCTTCCAAGCACAGTAAGTGTACTGTTAGCTCATGGCCAATTTACCACTGCTGTGCATGTGTATGGGGAGATTAAGGAACTTTGCTTGAAGAAATCTAATTTCATGCTCTGGTTAAAATAAAACGAAAACACATTTATCACCACCATTAGCCATGTCAGGCTCCCATTGTTATTCCATAATGTTTTTTGTGGTACTCAACGAATAAGTAATAAAAGTGCTTAGCAATGAAACAGCTCTCTTGAGATATCATTTTCCACAACTGAATTAGGAGTGAAGATTCACAGCACTGCCTTTCTCCTGAAGATGCAGTGCAGTCACTGCTATGCCCTGATTTTTAATTAACATTATTTAAAATGTATTTTCTGAAAAGTTTCTTTCCATCTCTTGTCTCCTGGCACTTCCTACTAATTTAGCTTTGTGACTTTAATCCAAATGGAAAGAGGTTCAAGCTCTCGGGACTGTATTCCTTTTCGGTCAACGTCGATTCACTGTATGAGCTATTTTTTTCTTTGAATGCAAGATGTATAGATCTAATCCTATAGTTCTTTAATCCATCAATCCATTTTCTAACCGCTTCTTCCAATTTAAGGTTGCGGGGCAGTCGGACCCTATCCTGGCAAGCAGTGAGCGCGAGGCAGTGTACATCCTGGATGGGACGCCAGTCCATCGCAGGGATGACACAGACACAGACAGAGACATGCACCCACTCACACCAGAGCCAGTTGTCACACACACCAGTTAACCTGCCAGTATGTTTTTGAACTGTGGGAGGAAACCGGAGCACATGGAGAAAACCCACACAAACATGGGGAGCACATACAGATTCATATACCGCATCCCAGGTCTGGAATTGAACCCAGGTCCCCAGAGCTGTGAGGCTAAAAACTGCGTGACCATACCTCCTGACTTCTTTCATTTATTACTTATTACAGTTTGTGGAAAAATAAAAATGAAACTCAGTTTTACACTGTTGAAGTCATGTATTGAAATAATACTACTGCAGCAACCATAAGAATCATTCTTAATGAAGAGTATACTTTTCTTATACCAGTGATTATCTGAAATATTGAGCTTTTCAACTCCACTGTCTTTCTACCCTTCGCTTCTAGGAGCCCAGAAGAAATGGAATCTTGGATCAGAAAGATTAATTCAGTAGCAGCCTTGTTCTCTGCACCCTCATTTCCAGCTGCAATTGGTTCCCAGAAAAAGTTCAGCCGTCCTCTTCTACCTGCAACCACAACGAGAATGTCACATGTAAGATACTGTTTTCCTGTTTTTGATGTCTTCTCGACAGTGATTCGTGTTGCAGTTCAATTCCTTCCAGCACTCTCATGCCGCACACCCGGAGAACTAATAAAGTATTGATTGGTTATACAAGCTGGTATCTCATCTAAATTCATTGCTTCGTGCTTTGAAAATGTAAAAAGTAGGATTCACCTCTGAGGTATTTTCAGAAAAGAAAAACTCTGGGGAAAAAAAAGATCTTTCATTTAAACAGTGCTATACAATTGAAAGGCAAAAATTAAATTTGTATTCTGAGCATCAACAGGCATGCATACCTTTGTTAAAAATGGAAATCTGGAGTGTCAAGGGACAATATGCAAGTCTTGTAAAGTGCTCTGCGGTAATGCAACATTTTCTGTCACATACAGTACTGTAGGACCACTTTTCCTAGTTTGGTAGTAGACAGACATTCCAGCTTTTTACAGCCTTCACAGATTCTATGAAAATAACTGGCTCCAAATATTATTTTTGTATAATTAAAAAGTTAGATATAATTGGATAGGGGACAGGTTATTACCTAGAGAAAAAGGAAATGACTTTTGTCTATTGCAGTTTTAAGAATTGGAATTCCATTTACTTTATACTTCTGCAAATATATTTACTCTTCGCTGTATGTGGTTACTGGCACCAAAAGATCAATCTGGGAATATAGCTTATACATTCCTCTAATGAATACATCTACCTTTAAATAAATGACCAGTGTAAGTTCAGACTTCATGCTTCAGACATTTCTTTGGGGGTTTTAAGTATTGTTTTGAGAAGATTGTCTTCTCATTTTGTTCCTTACTTGCTTGCCTTAAAAAAAAACTGTTTTATGAAATGTTTTTAGTTATGTTTTTTTTTGTCAACATCAGACAAGTACAGTAATTCAAATGATTTATTCTTTAAAAACATTACATTTTTAGCAACATAAAGACCATTGGGGAACTTTGTACTAGATTAATGGCTGTAACAGTTTGCTGTCAAAAGCCATTTATTTATATCACCATAACCTCTTTATCTTTAATACAATTTTCATACAGGTGTGTGCATTAACACTTTGTTTTTAGCTTTCTGGCCACTCACAAATGTATAATCAAGAATTAGTTCACAGAGCAGTTACATTATGAGGTACATTTGTAAAATTGTGAACAAAAGACGTTTTGCCCCTGAATAGTGATTTTTACATATTTTTATTTTAGAACCTGATAGTATACGCAGAGTTTCTTTTCAGAAAGGTAGTTACTGCAGTGTCACATATCATCTGCACACAAGCCTTTTCTACAGGCATGTAGGAGAATTGGTCAAAACATAAAGAAACGAGAGACTCTTGCTGCTATATAGAAAACACTCATTGTGGAATGAATAAAAATGATGTAACCTAAAAGAAAGTTAAATCTTAAAATCATATTCTGGAACCTCTGACCCCTTGAGTTAGTGACCCATCATTTCCATACTGTCTTATTGACAAACACATTGCACAAGTACATTAGAAATGTGCTATTAAGATTCCTAGAATCTTTAAATTAAGAGAGATTTCATGACCAGTAGTTCTCCTCTCCTTGTAAAACAAAGTGTTTATATCCTCGAGCTGAATGAAGTTGTATCTCTCCTGCAGGACGAACAGCTGAAGTCCCATGAGGCCAAACTGAAACACATCTCCACTGAGCTGGCTGAGCACAGATCATACCCCCCAGACAAGAAAGTCAAAGCCAAGGAGATTGATGAGTACAGACTCAAGGAGCACTACCTGGAGTTTGAGGTACGTCTTAATGTAAATGCAGACTGAAAGGCAAAACGCAGGCAGTACATAGCTGCAAATGACAGCTCATTTCACATTATCTTTACTTGTGAAGAAACATTGACCATTCTTCTTTGCTGTCCTCTATATACTGATATGTTCTGACATCAGAAGGCATATTATCATAGGTTTTGACATCTCATGTGACAATCACAGGAAAAGTGCTCTGACAGCTTCACATACAGCTTTTTTGCTGTATGCACCATGCTGAAGGATGGGTAACATTCCACAATGCTTTATAAATATACTATATAACACTTTTTATCCTTAAGGATCACAAATATGACCAGGCCCACTTTGTCTTCTTTGTCTGCCACTGAAATGTAGCCTCCACTACACTGATGGATATTAGGTGGAGAGGTGAGAAATTGAGTTAGCTGAGTTAAGACAGACCTTTAGTGGCACGCTATTGAGTAAGCACAGAATAGAATTTAGCCATGTTACCAGAGTTACTCCATTACCTCTACTTTTGCTAACAGTTCCGTGAGATTTATAATGACCAAGTTCCAGAAACTTGGTTTAATATCTCATCCAAATGATGGCTTCTCTTACAGCACAGTATCCCTGATAAAAATACTGGGATATTGGTATGGAAATTATGGTCCATGGGAAGGGTGCCCCCTGCTGGCTTATGATATTAATAATAATAGCAGATAGAGTTTACCTTACCTGAAAAAAAAAATTGTGTTCTCTGAGAAAATTGCATCCTTTCAATCAACGACTCACTGTGTGTTATGCTATATTATTTGTTGTTTTTTTCTTGTGTACAGATTTGTTTTATCTGTAGTATCCATCAAACAGCTTGGAATAAGTCCAGTCATCTCTAATTTGTATGACGGAGGTTTAAGGCCCATAACTTGATAGGTAATCTGTACAAATGAGCTGTTTCACTGTGGCACCATAAATCTTCACTGGCCAATAATTAACTTTCTTTGTAGTGTGAAGCAAGCAATTCAACCTTTTACTTCTGAACTGCATATGTATTAAGTACACCACACCAAAAAGAAAAAAATCCAAATCAGATTATTTCCTAGTAATACACATTCTGCTTTGGAAATTACAGTTAATGATCTGTGTTGTTGATCATATTTCTCTTATTTTAAGTAATTGCCAATGTTCCTCTCAATATCATACCTTTTATAAATAAGAGAAAAAAAGACCTGAGCCTTTCAGAATGCAACAAAGGGGGAAACACAACTTAATGAAGATTAGTAGGAACTGAAATCAATGAAATGGAAGTCTTGCAGAAGCTGATTTACTTAAAGCAGGAACCTTGACCTTTCTGACAAATTGATCTGTGAGCATTCATTCAGTTTGGCAGTTCTGCTGATTAAAATTCTTTCCTGTCCTGAAATCCTTAATTAGTAAGGACACAATTAGTAAGACAAACTTTTTTGATACTGCAGCATTTCTTAAGTTACAATTGAACTGCCTCTTATAAAACTTTTAGCATAAATTAATACATTATCAATTTAAAGTGGAAAGATTTTTTCTCTAGATTTTGAAATACAGTAGTTTATTTTATAAAATAGTGTGTAGTACAGTATGTAATGATACGGCTAAGTAGGCAATGGCTTTATTTAATTGCTGGATAATATTACCAATATATAATTACTTGTACTCTATATGAGTTTTTTTGTAATGCATTTCGCAGTCCAAAAATTGCATTAAAAAATGCTTAACATTTTATCATGGTTAATGATTTTGTTTAAACCAACCTTTTTGAAAATTAACTGCATTTTTTATTTATTTGAGGGTATGGAGGGTTTTTCTCTAAAGTGATAACATTGCTTTGATTCATGAGCTATTTAGCTACTGTACAGTATGTAGTTTTAGTTCTAAGAATGGTTTATTGTACGAGAGATGCAGTATGTGCTGAAACTAGAGACACTGCTATGGCGAAGTCACGTTATATATGTCAAGGCATTTGGGGCATAAGAAACCTCAACAAGGATTGTTAGTTGACAGATTGTTTTGGCCAAGGTTACTAATATTGCCTGAATACCTGCTCACGTTGTTAACTGGAAGCAAACACCTGTGTTTCAAGAAGGACTCTTTTACAACCACTACCTCTCATAGATGTTCACTTCGAATGTGTTCCTGTGGAATGGATGTAGTAGGGTCTTTGCAAAGAAACAGTTCAAGTAATTGCTTTATTTGTATCCTTTGTGTCAATGTCACCAGAGTTCTAGAAACCTTTCCTTTGTACAGTATAGAAGCCAAACAGATGGCAAAAGCTCTTGGTATTTTTATCTCCCCTACATAAGTCAAATACCGCAGAATCTTGTTGAAACTTGGTTATAGAATATTAATTAGCATTGGTAACAATCCATACTGTACCATCCAAAGACGGATGGGTTGGTGAAACATTTCAGCCATATTCTCAAGACCATACTCCAGGGTTTTGTAAATAACACTGGCAGAGACTGGGACTCTTTGATATAATATATGTCATTTGCATAACCTTAAGTCTCTGAGGGATATATACCTTTTGAGCTACTTTACTGCAGGGAGCTGTTGTCCTTTGTTCCGAACTCCCTGGCATCCTGAAAGAAACTTGGAAGGGGCAGAGGAAGGTTACTTACTATGTATTGAGAATGTGCGATTAGATGGAGGAGTACATATTGCTAGTAAGACAAAACATGCACTGAAAGCCTCAAAACCCATGTGTGTTCAGAGGGTGTTTCTACTATTGCCAACTTCTGAGAACAGAGCCAAAAAGCAAGAACCAATAGAAATGACCAAAGATCGAGTACTGTCATATACCAGATGAGCAAACCGGATAAGAGCATGTAGAAAAATGTATTCCATGTGAACCCTTTGAAAGACTGGGGGAAAAAATAAAAAAATCAAACATTATTGATCCCAAAAGCTGGAGATGATAATGAATTAGAGCTGTTCATTCGTTCAGTGATGTTCAATGGATGTTTCAAATTACAAAGCAAAAATTAACAATGCTGGACTTTCTGAGCTCTTTACTTGGTTTACTTGAATTTCACTGGGGAAGCGTGACATTCAGTTACTGGAAACAGCAGGCATTCACTAGGAAAGGTATCAAATTTCAGAACAACTTCTGAGACTGGAGACTCTGAAAGAAGAACTCGACCGCATCTTGCCATTCCCTGTCACTGAGCCTTCATCAAGTCTCTGGAGAAGTCTAATTGTCCTCACAACAGTAATTGTTAGCAAGTTCCACCTAGAACTCCATTCTTGTCTTTCACAAAGCGTAGGGTGGAATCAGGAAAAGTACTGTTCATAAAAGCTCCTCAAGCAACTCGAGAAATATTGCGAAATATGCCAAGGAGACAGGGTAAAAATTGGACCAAGGCGATATGCAATGTTGGTAGAAACTTGCCCAACCAGACTTGCAGCTGGAATTACTGAGTTGCTTTCACCAAATAATACACTTATTGATCTGAACATTTATGCACTCAACATATTTTAGTTTTTTTTTTCTCTTTAGTTGCTGAAATTTAGTGTAATGCATCTTACCCTTAGAAGTTTTCAGGTTAAAACATTCAGATTTCAAGTGAAATGTTAAGTTTACAAAATGAAGAAAATGCACTGTCCGGTACTTAGAACTTTGTGTGGCTAACTAGAAATATTGCAGGTGGATGTTGTTATTCTAAACCTTAATACCATTGCATGGTGGCCTGGTGGCATCTAATCTCCTTACCCTTTGCATCCTGGTAAATTTATTCAGTTACTTAACCCTGGGTTTATAAAATACAGTTTGCATATATCTCTGAAAGAGAATGAGCACTTGTTCATGGCTTGTTTCAAGGTCTAACTGAAGTTTGTTGTCTTGGAGTTTTTGCCATCTGTTAAACCTTCTAAAGTCTTATTTCTATTATTGTTTCCAGTTTTTTAAGAATGAAAGAGTGGTTGGCGCCATAGTGACGCAGTGGTTAGTGCTGGGGCCCTGGGTTCAATTGTGGGTGCTATCTGCATGGAGTTTTTATGCTTTCTCCATGTGTCTGTGTGCCTCCGATAGACTAGCGTCCAGTCCAGGGTGTACCCTGCCGTGCGCTCCTTGCTTGCTGGGATAGGCTTCAGCTCCCCCACAACCTTGAATTTAAAGAAGTAATTAAAAATAGGATGGATGTAAGCATGGTAATAAATGAGTTGAAGCATTCAACCCATTCTAGCTCATCTAGCTTTTAGTAGTTAATTGATCATAGGATCTCATCCAGCCTGACAAAAGCTAAGTATCATTTTTTTAAAACATGGCTTCCATACTCTCATAACAATTTGTGTGAAATTGTGCCTCTATGCTCAGTTTTAGATGCACTTCCAGACAAATTCTTCTAATGTCTTTGATCCAAGCTTCATTGCTGAGACAGGGGAAATCCATTGAGATTATTTTTCAATGTCCTTGATGATTTAGGCCATTACTGGGGATCAGGTCCCCTCATATAGTCTTTCCTGTTTAAAAAAAAGCATAAAAGATTCTTTTTTCCAATCTGCCAGTATAGGATGTTCTGTTGAGTTCAGGAACGTGTCCTCTCTGGATTGGTTGCAAAATATATTTTTCGTAACACAGTGACTAAAATCGTGCACAATTGTTTGCAAAATGTTACAAGTGCATTACAGAATTTTAATATTAAAGTTCTACACTTATAACTAGACATTATAGCCTAGCAATTGTTGTCTTTTTTATTGTTTCTCCAGCAATCTAGAAGACATAAACTTGCCTACATACTGTATGTGCCTATGTAATTCTTAGCTTTGTTTATTTTACCTGGTTATTCTTGATCACTGTATATATTTCAGTAACATTGTGAAATCTGCAATGAACTTTCTAAAACACCAGGTGAATAAACACTTGGATTTTGTTGAAAAACTAGTTTATTTTTAAGGACTTTTTTATCACATGGCTTGGCCCAGGTAATCCCAGGAAAAAATACCTATGTAGTTATCTATATATGCAGTTGTTTTCTTAATATACTTAATGTCAATATCAAAGTTAACCAGCATCCTATTAACCTCTGCTATTGGAGGTTAGCCAGTTATGTCTTGATGTACCCAGTTCTCTTTATAAAGCTAAAATCCTGCCAGAGGAGATGGCTGACTTCAATTAAATGATCTGAGATGGTACTATTGCCATTTTGTAGATAACTTGTCTTTGGCACATCTAAATCCACAGTATCAAAATATTGGGAATTTAATCTGATAGTGGAGCAGAAGCTTACAGATCAGATAATCACAGTACAGATGGCCTCCAGTAAGATTTTTTTTGGACTGTATTTGTCATGTAACTACATTTTGGACTGAGATTAAACTTTCATTTGCTTTTGAAGGATTATTTTCTTTTATCTAAATTGTTCAGATCTGATCCGATTCTGGAGGTTGATCAATAGATTCGTGTCATGTACTTACATTGTTAAATCGGTAATAGTATAGTGGCTTTACAGGGCCTCACATGAGTTTTGGATCAGTAAACCAAGACCACTGAGCCTGATTTTTGTCTGATTTATTCATTTGTTTCCATGCTCCTTATTTCTACTTCATTGTTTTGTTTTCATTTTCTGTACTGCTTTCTGTGTGGTTGATATTTCAAATTTTTGTGTAGAGTTTATTTAAAAAAAACAGCATTTTAAAAATATAGTCTCAGACAAAAGTAAATGAGTAATTCTGTGAGCAATCATGGTTCTGTGAGCAGTTGACTGAATCGGGAGGTCGGGTGTTCAAATCCAGCTGTCGCCAGGAGTTTTCTTTGAGTGGAGCAGTGGTTCTGTGGCTAAGGATCTGCGCCTGTGGCTGGAAGGTTGCCGGTTCAAATCCCGCAGCCGGCAGAGCAATCCTACTCCACTGGGCTCCTGACCAAGGCCCTTAACCCCAACTGCTCCAGGGGCGCTGTACAATGGCTGACCCTGTGCTCTGACTCCAGGCTCTCTCCCTGTCTGTGTGTCTATGTGTCTCATGGAGAGCAAGCTGGGGTATACGAAAAGACGAATTCCTAATGCAGGAAATAGTATAGGGCTACTAAAGGGATGTTATGTTATGGTAAATAGTTTCACCAACTTCATGTTAATTCACTAACACAAATACTGTATAGAAGTACAGTATAAGCAGATTTGTGAATGCTTTTATGAATTAACCTTATTGATGATTGATGCAATTCTTAATAAACATACATTTTTTGTGAATCTAAAATCTAAAAAAAGACAAAAATATTAATGTTTCTTTCACCTCAAAAAGGTCATTTTAAAAGTTTATTTTTGGTTCCTTTCAAATGTCATATTTTTTTCAAAATGCTGAGATGGTTATTCTTACACACATTCTTTTTTTCTTTTTTTGATTTTTGTGGCCTGACATAGACAAGACAAAGTCAGGGGTAAGGTCAGTGCACTGAGCCAGTTCAGCCAAGACCATAAAAAAGAGCACTGCCATTTCTTGTTCAGTCTTCCTAGACTGACTTATGCAGAAGCACTGCAATAACACATACTTTCCAGATCCCTCATAAGGACTGAGGGCAAGCAGAAGCCTACAGTCCCACAAACCGGTAATGCAAATTGCTGTTGTGTGTAAGTTAACAGGAAAAACCATAAGAGTGCTCAACCTATTTTACAGTGTATATATATATAACCATTTGTAGTTTTTTTTCATGTTCATTATTTGTATTCAGCGTAATAAATTCATACAGTACAGTATATAATGGATTCGGCTGTGAGTGTATCTTTGTCATCTTTGAGATACAGACAGGAGTTGCATTATATGTATAACGCCTTATGAAAGTATTTATCCCCTTCCAGTCATGTCCATTTTGTCGATTTACAAATTATACATTTTATTCCAGTAAATGGTTTTAGTGAGAACTTTAATGGACTGTGCTATGAGTGAAATAAGGTAAATGTCCTTGAAAACAAAAATATATCCCAATGCACCAAATTTTCTGTAGCTAACCTAGTTTAGGTAAGGTGTACGGAATGGCTTTGATAAGACACCAAATGTGCTCTGTGTGCAATAATAAAGGCTCATGTTATTCCAAAATAAATCTGTTCCTCCAAACTAAGAAGCCCGCCAAGGAGGAAACTGGTTAGGGATGCCATAGTAAGGCCGATGGTGGCTTTACTGTATATGAGCTAAAGAATTCAGTGACTCAGATTAAATAAAATGTCCATGAGTCAAGAACTGTACAACAGTATAAAACTGGCTTGTATGTACTGAAAACAAACATCAAATCATGCATATGATTATGTTATGTAAATTGTTGGGAAAATAGGAACATTTTAGTCTATATTCAAATTGCTATGTCTGACCAAAATCCAACACATTGCATCACCCAGTCAGTACCAATCCCTTGTCAAGCAAGATGGTGGGAGTATTTTGATATGGGGCTGCTTCTCGTCAGCAGGGTGTAAGAAGCTTGTCAAGACTCAGAGCAAAATCGATGGAGCCAAGTACAGGCAATTCTTCAAAGAAAAGCCACTTTATTCTCATGATATAAATTCACTTTTCTGTAGGAAATTGACCCAAAGCGCAAGCCCAGTGCTACAGTGGAGTGGCTTAATAAGAAGAAAGTGTCCCACTTCTTCCCACTTGGAGTATCCCAGTCCAAGTCTGGACTTGAATGTGATATTCTTGAAAATTGCTGTCTATCAACAATCTCCATACTCTTTTGGTGTGCAAAGTTAAGACTTATCCAAATTGACCCCTAGCTGTAATTACAGCCAAAGGGTCTTCCACCATGTTTTGACTTAGGGGAGTGGATACTTAAAATATGCCATCCATATCCCATGTTTTAGTTTTGGATTATCTGCAGTTTTTGAACTTGACAATGAACTTCTTTCACCCATTAAACTGTTCAGATAGAGCATCCCACTCAATCAAATTTGATTGAACTATTGATTTAAAAATATCTATACATCATTAATAAAGTGGAACATCGTTTGAAGCATTTCAAAATACTATTGAAGGCACTGTACTATACAGTATGCTATTAAATGCCTCCATTAGTGTTAACATTTGTATGTTATAAAATACAGCTTAGACTGGGTGAAATGAAACCAAGCTGGTCATTTAGGAATCTTTAATTCCCTTCAGAATCTTCAAAAACTTAATCACATCCCAAAGAAAACTATACAAGAGTAGCCATCCATTACTAATCCAAACTAATCCATTACTTTTACCAGTCACATCTAAATCACTGTGTATTGTGCTTCTTCATTAACACTACTTAGTTCCTCTCTACATATCCATCATGTTAGAAGGCTACTTTTCGTATGGCAAAAATGTAGATCATTCTGAAAATGACTTTTGCATAAGGAATGAAAAACATTGTGTGAAATGTGTAAGGTCTTCAGACCTTTGCACAACAATACATGTTAGAATCATTTACAGTGTTGTACTTCCTTCAAAATAAAAAAAAACAGTTTTGTGCTGAATTTCTGTCTGAGGGCCTCTTCTGGTTTCTCCTTTGGCTTCGTTCCTTCTTACCCGTGACTGTACTGTCCTCCTGACAGGAGAACCGCTACGAGGTGTACGTGAAGCTCTTGAAGGAGGGAGTGAAAGAGCTGCTGTCGGGCAAAGAGAGTGACGGCAGCGGGCTGAAGAAGTCCCACTCCAGCCCGTCTCTCAATCAGGAGTCCTCGCCAGCTAGCGCCAAGGTCAAGCGCAACGTCTCCGAGAGGAAGGACTACAGGCCGGAAACGCCCAGCTCCAAGCAGAACGTTACCTAGGGAACAGCACGCGACACAAGACAAGCCTACCAGATGCAATGTGTGAATATGTTTTATGTAATTTATTTATCTGGCAACTGTTATAAATAAACAGTAGTGTATAATATAACTGATAATAGTCCTTGACTGACTGGTGCTTGTGTAGCATTTTTTTAGGGTATAACATCTTTTTTGTTGTTGTTGTTGTTGCCGTTGCTTATTGTATAAAACTGTTGTAGATTTTGTTGTGAGGCTTTAAACTAAGTGTCACTTTACTGGACCTTGCTGGTCTGTTTCACAACAATCATTTCTTTGCCTTTTAGTCAAGAGAAAATGTTTTCTTATCTCTTTTTAGTTTAGTGAAAGATCCCGGACCAGTTTCTGTATACGTACAGTACTAGCAAAGAAATTCCAAATAAAGCAACCGTACGACAGACTTGCTTGGAAGTTAAACTGTATTTATTTGAAACTGTTTTTAGTGTATGTAGACAACATACAGTAAGTGGTCATAATTATTGCTGTTAAAATAAGTCAACGTGATTCACTTCCTGTGAAACCTGACATATCTTATCAAAGACAATGTTTGTTTTCCAGACTTTCCTTATACAGTAACTCATAAATATTTTTTTTTATTTGTTGAAATTGGATTGAAACTTAATGATATAGCATCAAGTTGTAAATAATTGGATGTGATGCATTTGTTTAGTTAAGCATTTTAATGCGTTTGAAGGTATATCTTTGCTAGGAATGAAAAGAAAGCATCCTTTTTAAAAAAATCATTATAAAGTTGAATAAGTCTACTTACAGTATGTATTTTATTTAATTTTACAAGCATGTTACACTTGCTGAAAAAAGTATTAAAACAAAAGATTATACATTTGTACTGTCAATGAGGGATGCTTTCATTTTAGCCATTCAGTATAATCTAACATTCATTTACATTTAAATCTTCAGACTCCAGTACGATATTGAAGGAATCATAGGAAACCGCATTTTGCTACTTTTCTGTAGCTGAGCCGTTTGTTTTATATCTTTTGGAACAAAGGATATATTTGTGTTTTTTAAGTAGTGTAAATGCCAACTATCTTTTTGTGTCTTTTATAATCTTCTATATATTTGGATTTTGAATTCTAATTTGATAACTGTAAAGACCGACTTAGTATTTATAGCGCACTTTATAAATTAGTTATTTTAAATATTTCAGAAAGCTTTATAGAGGGGGTACGCTGAAAAATTACTGAAAAGTTTGTTTTTTTTGCCTCATAAGAAGTCTGCAAGCTGTCTTCTTTACTGGCATTGTGTTGCAAACAGAAGGAAAATTTTTACTTTAATCCGGGTACAGAGTTGAACTTTTGTTCTGATCAGTTTAGCCCTAAGTGTTGTTTCAGTTATAAAGAGTAGGTTTGCTGTTGCTTATTGACAAGGTTTCCATTGTGGGAATCATTTACTGTAGACCTTAAAAGTTTAGTGTTTGCTGTTATTCAGGCTGTCTTCATTGAATTGCTGATGTTAGATGCACAGAGATGCAAATGTAAATTTGAGACTATTTGTAGAATATAAATTGGTATTTTTAGGGGGGAAAATTTGAACATCTCTATCCATTTCCAAACAAAAACCTTTATTCTGCTGTTCCTGTCAATGCTGTTGAATACATAAAATATATATTATACATTAAATAAACCCTCAAGGTGCAGAATTGAATTACAGATCTAGTTATACAGTATATACAGCATGGATTACTTAAAATGTAAGTCCTGAAAATCATTAAATATTCACATTTGTTTTCTTAACTCATGTGTTGTTAAATGTGGGGTAATATCCAAATTTCACATAAAGACAAAGATGCACTCTGTAGATTTTAAAAAGGAGAGTTGGTAGTAAAATTCTGTTTTTAAGTTTTCAGAAGTTAAAAATAAAAATGTTTTTATTTCGCTTATCTGCACATACTGTACTTTTCAAAGACTTGCAGTTGTTAACTAGGTTTTAATAATTTGGGTGAATTAATAGCTTTAAGAACAGTGTGACTCAAAGTTTTTTTAGTTTTTTTTACAACTCATGCTTTTGTGTTCATTGATGTCGACAAAAAAATATATACTATGTAAAAACTGCATCTTCTGTTTAGTGTGCTCTGTGACACACATAAGCTGCATGTTTTACATTTTTTTGGTCCATTTTACAGGAATGTGTTCAGCTAAGTGACTAATGGAACTAAGAGTAATTGAATGAAAATGATATTCCATGTATTTAATTCATACTGTAGTTTCTCTGGATCCATCATTATACTGCTGCCATAGCTATAGTCTTGACAATAGATGAGGCCTGGAAAAGAAAAAATGCTGAAAATGTTACCTTAAAGTCTTGCAGTATTGACAGTAACAGGCTCAGATTTGCATTTCTTTAGACCCTCGAGGTAGAACAGATAAATGTCAGAGGCTGTAAGTAAAAATGATTTCACACCCACCAGAGAGAGAGAGGTCATTGTTATCCCCACTCAAGTAAACTGGAGATTAATGTTCATTCCGCCACTCTGAATTATAATTCGGCAAGTATTCTACGTGAACATTTTATGCATCCATTTGTTTCTGATGTTTCTAATAAAATTAAAACTTTTAATACTCTCACTTCTCACAACATTTATTAAATGGGGAACAAGATTCCTTCAGTTCAAATAATGCACATTTCATCTGTTTCCGGCGTAGATTTCTGCTGATCTATGAAAATATTTAATAAATACAAATGTGTATTCTTTGTTTAGATACGTACTGTATACTACACCCCAAATTTGAACATGATAATTTCATGAAATGGGCAATGGAGTAATATAAAGTGTGTTGAGGTATTATTGTATTATAAATTTAAAGAAGCTGTGTTAAAGCTGCCGATCAAGTTTCTCTTTTACGAGAGAGAATTTTATCATTCTCTGTATCACACTTTCCCTTCTCATATAGTTGGCAATTTCACAGTTTGGGTGGAAGACATGTTATCAAAGCTGAAAGCCCAGTCTTTTGTTATTTGGTGTATCTGAATGAAATCTTGATGGATTTTAGCTTTCGGAGTTTGTCTAACCAAGAATTAATTATGAATTCTTACAGCAGGAGGTTTGTGTAGCACAAGCTAATAACTTCTTGAGCAGATGCTTTACCAGGGTTCCTCTTACAATTATTCTAGTGCAGATGTCATTCTTGTACAAAATGCCACATTATCTTGAATTTAATGGCTTCACAGCTATCCTTTTGGCACTAGAAGGATATTTGTTTTAAGACATTTATATACTGTAGGTTTTATTTAAAAATATGAAATTTGTCATTAAAATATAAAAATGGGAGCAACTCAGTTTAATCACATGGTTCTTGTTTTATGGTATACAGTACACCTGTATGCACTTTAGCCCTAAAGTGGCTGTTTGTGAAAACGTGTGCATTGACATATTTCTGAAAGCTGTGATATTGTACAATCAATAACTGTGTAAATGTTAAATATAGCTATTGCCCTGTGTTTTTAAAGGCCCAAGATTATATTGTTGGTTGTTAAAGTGATTTCAGTGGCATTGAAGGTGGTTTAATGTTCTAATGCCAAGATCAATAACATAACATTGATATGCAAACTGTAGATGGACTCAACAAATAAAATACCGTATTTCATTCAACGTACTTTGTTTTCTCAGTCATTGAGCGTTGTTTTCTCACGTTGCAAGAGATAACATAATACCTTCTGCTTTTACTGAAATAATATCAATGACATTTCTGCCCAGATTTAAAAAAAATAATGAAATATGACCAAATGCAGTGTACCACAACATATTGTAATCTCAAAAATTAGAAAATAAACAGATCTTCCTGCAAAGATGTCTTAACATCTTTGTAATCTGAACTAAATGTAAGTGTAGTTGTAAAGTCACTTCATTTAACATTTATTTGAATCTGTTCATTGTGAAAAGTTTTCATGATTTTGCAGATTCAAATTACAGTGTTGTGTCCCCCTAAGCCCTGCTAAATTACAGGGTGTGTTGCGGCTCTATTGGCTGTAGGCCACACCTCCACCTCCTGCCTGCTTTTCATGAGTTACCAAGGTGACAGCAGGATACTCTGAGCACCTGAATACCACGAGAAGTCACATCGCAGCAGGTGTTCCTAGTTATTTGAGTCCTGCTTAGTTTCTCCGTTAGCTGTTGTCCTGAAATTGTTGTCCCGTGATTCTGTACCCCTGCCTACCTGCTTTTTCCCCATCACTTGCTTGCTTCCTGACCCACCCAGACTGCACTTGGGAACCCTGTCTGGTGCTGTGCTGCCCTAGGCTGGTGGCGGCTTTACATTTCTCTGTGAGTTTGGTCCAGCGGCTGCCTGCCGTTAGCAGGTACTGTACACGTCTGTGTCCCTGGTGTGCATGATGGCGGTGAGGCCATGCTGCTGTGGCTCCAGGTGCAGACCGCCCCGCCCGGTCCTGTCCCTGCACTCTACAGCAATGAAGAGTCCATACTGGAGAAAGCCAGCCACTGGCCCAAGTCTGTGGCGCCCTTGCTCCTGGGTCTGTAATGCCTCCATACCCGTTCTGAGTGCTGTGGCGTAAGGTCTAAAGGACAGAAAGAAAATGACCCAATCAACATGTTTACAAAATAAATTACTGCAGGATCAATTCAGTTTCATGCGATTCAAAGCTGTAGATTTCAAACATTTACACAAAGTGTCTTATATTATGATATGAAAAACCCTAACAGGTAGTGTTGCAGTTTAAAATACAGTACTACTGTAAGTGAACAGAAAGTTACCACCTCTATCATTGGGGCCATCCAGTTGGCATTTTAGCCCATAACGCTTATCTAATTAGAAAGCTCCTGATTGAGTTTCATCTCAACAACATAATGACCTCAAATATATGGCCAAGAAATCTCCACCTCTATTCTTGATACCGATAGGCATGCACATTTTAGTAAAATCACCGATTTAATTCATTTACTACTCATTCATTTACTATAACATACAGTACCTTACAGAATGTAGTGTGCACAAATTTTGAAAAAAATTGGCATAAACCTGTGGCACCTGTATAAAAAGGGCTGTAATTCCTGTATGGTTCACCCAATATAGATGTACTGTAAATACCCTTGAATTAAAGCTGACATTCTGCACTTTAACCTCAGTCATTGTTTTATTTCAAATCCAATGTACTGGAGTACAGAGCCAAAACAGCAAAAATTGTGTTACTGTCCAAATACTTATGGACTGCACTGTAGACTATGGGTTTTATCTCTGTCATCATTTAGAGTCAAATCTCGGGGGGAAAAAAAAGTTCCTGAGTGAAAAAACACATTACAAATGGCCCACTGGAATGATATTTTAGGCAATTATTATTTGACATTGGTCATCAAAAGTATCTACAGTATCTACTTAAATCCTCCCTCTAGTGGGTTAAACTGGGTTAAAATCCAGGAATGTAGAATGTGGGAACAAGCACTTCCATGTTAAAAGGGTTAATAGAGATAATGTTGTTATGGAAGTCAATTCAATGGGTGGCACACATCTCCATTGGCAACAACATCATGATCAAGAGAAATAAGTGGCACAACCACAATGCTCATATTTACCAATGTAATGTCATTATGTATAAGACCTACATATATATTGATGATTTTTCTTTTATGTGAGCTCCATAACTGCCACAAAAGACAAATACCCAGAATTCATTACAGACCATCAAAACCAGGCCTATCTATATCATTTTATGCAGAGTAACATTTCTTTTGTTCATGTAAAGCTACAAACACATCAGATCATACCCAACATCAATTTCTTCCCAGTGCAAAAAAGCAAATGAGGTCTTAAATTCCTAACAAGCTTGTCACAACCTCTCATAATACCATGCTCAAATAGGCTGATCAGTTAGCTTTGCAGTAAGTACAGTAGTGGCAGTAGTACAACACGCTTTGTGCTTCTGTGTATAATGTATGCGTCTGTATGATTTTTAAAACATCACAACACGTACAAGCTAATAATACCTACAAAATAGTTTATATTGTGGAATTCAAAAGACAATTTTATAGACTAAGCATGACTTTCTTATAAAGCTTATCAACAATACTGAGTTTTATTGTGACCCCAAACAGAATTAAAATTCAGAAATGCCAGGAACAGAAGCAAATTCACACTTAATTTACTTAACTTAATTTTTCTGTTCAGTTACAAAAGAGTTTATCTACTTTTGCCAGTTTACAGTTGTACTTCAAACACTTTATTCTCAAGGTTTTCAGTGCTGAACAAACTTTGACTGCTGTTGCCATAGCAATACCAGGGACAATGTGATATTTTTGGAATTTGTGGTAAAGGAGACTGAGCTGAGTAAACTTCAGTTTTGTAGTCCCAATTACCTCTGTAATTTTACTTATACTGTACATGTATCATAGTCTACTGCATATGACCTAAAGCCTTACCAAAAAGTACAGTACTTACATACTGTATAATGTGCTTGTAAAAATCCAATAATCATTTAATGTTTATACAGGCATGCAGAGATCATTTTTTGCTGTAAAATATTCATTTTTGTTAATAATTTAATGTGTAATTCTCAGTGTTGAAGTCTATTGAAGTTAACCGGGACCTGAGCATTGCTTACATTCAAATATCCCTGATCTATATTTATAATTATATTAAGCAAAATGACTGATGATTATATCAAACGTTTCATTGACTAAGCTTTTCATCATTTTAGCCCGCTAGCATAAAAATCATTCGAACAACTGCAATTAAATTAATTCCTGACCGTAAACCATTTTGCTTTTTCCATTACTAATTTAAAAACTTGCTTGGTCTGCGTCAGTGGGCCCTGTCAGTGAACAAAGAAGAAAAAATAAAAAAAAAAACTCACCTTTAAGAAAAATCAAGCCAGACAAATATACAGTATACAGTGGTACATATTCCTGACAATCCCTGAAACCTGGAAAAGGTTCTTCACATAATTTTACAGAGAAATTATGTGCTTGGTATGGTGATACAGTATATAACTAACATGTGGGAGATTGTTGAGATATATAGTACAATATCACATAGGCAGTGTAGACTATGTGATAGTGTCGGTAGTGTTACAGTAGGAGGCTGCCTGAGCAGCGGCAGAGCGCGTTGTCTTCCGTGCGGTGTGCCGGTGTGTGGGCGTCTGCAAAGGTTTCGGTTCTCTGATCGCAGAGATTTGTTTGTGCCGCCTGTGAGGGGAAAACACATTCGGTTCTACCGTGAACGCTGCCTGTGGCCGTGTAGGGATCTTAAATCGCAGCGCTGATTAGCGTCAGGTGTGGAAGCTGCACATTCCCACGCGCCGCGGAGTGTGAAGTGCAGTGGGAGGTGTGTTCCCCTGTCACAACTGTATATATCCAAGCTTTCAAAGAGCATTCAAAGATAACATTTTATGCACAACATGGGCATCCGCAGCCAACAGAACATGCAACTCCTGCTGTGATTTGGAGGGTGGAAAACCAAACCACCAATGAAAGTGTGAAACCGTTGTGAAAGTGGCAAATTGTAGGTGTCAGGAGAGCCATTTGCCATTATCGCTACAGCACTGGGGGGAATGACAGAGCTGTGAGCTGCATACTTTTCATACCATACAGTGTCATCTGCCGTCTGCAGTGAGCAGCACCACTGTAGGTGCCTTCCCACCGACTGTAACACTGTCATTTTTTATTGATAAATCCAGGTTTTCACAATTCTCAGATACTGGCTGCATGATACTATCCAGCACAGGACTTTTCATTGAGAGGTCTGCAAGACATGTTGTACTGAAGATGGTGGTCGTTCTCACAAATCGTGGGTTACTCGTTACGTTTTTTTTAATTCCAATATCCCAATCAGTATTATGATTCTGCAGGAGGGACGTCTGACTTTACGTAAAAAAACTTGTCTTTACGAGGAGGTCTAGCTTTTGGGAATTTCACATAGCCTGTGCAACACAAGAATAGAGGGTGTGAAGGCATTACACATTTCTTAGCCTTGGCCAGTAACCAGGCATGTGAAGTGAGCAATTTAGATTAATTTCCAGTAAAACCCAGGAGATTGCAGAGCACTGCTGCTTAACATGGTCTTGCTTAAGTCAATGTGACCCTCCAGGAAATCCTTAACCTGCTGAAAATTGGTGGCTTAGCCAATGGTTCTGTGTAAAAGGACAGAAAATGGCATTCTCACCTGGAACTAGCGTACATTGTGTTTTCAAACATCCTGACAATGCACTCTGTATTTGGGAAAAATTAATGTGTTGAAAAGAAAAATGATCGGGGAATAGTTCTGGGATTTAATTAAATTGGTTGAGTGTTTTTGATCTGTCAGCAGGCCTTTGTTTCAAAGACACTCTTTTTTCATGCTTTACTGTGGCTATGCTGCAGCAAATACAGTAAATTGTGCTGCTAAAGAACATACAGGTATGGTGCTATGCCAAAGGTATACTAAGGTGTTCTTTGTATTCGATACCACTGAAAACTCTATACACGGAATTACTTCACAGAAGCCAGACTCAGCTTCAGCACTGTCCTGTTTTAGAGAAGTACAAGAATGAGGATACAGCTTCTTTCCAATGCAGGTGTCTTCTGCTGAGCAGTTCACTGCTTTGATGTATTAAAATGTAATCCATCTCTTGATCTAAACTTGGACACATGCTAGGTTCTTTAGG